ATATATATATATATATATATATATATATATATATATTTGCAATATGTGGGGGATTGTTATAAAAAGGAGTGCCTGCAGTGTCGTTATATTGATATTGCAAAATATTTAAGTTGGTTTGGTTGTTCACATTCCACAAGAAACATTGGAACGTTGGAACTCCAAGTGGTCAAAATCACTCATCCGCAAGTCTCGCTCGGGATCATCCATGTTCAAAGAGTGGTTTTGCTCATCCGCAAGGCACGAAATCAGTTTCGGGAAGCTTCTTTCATAAGATGTTTTTTTTCCTTGGATCACTCTTTTTCATGCTCTATAAATAGAGCACTTCATTCACTCCAAAATACATAATCAAAAACCACTCTTCTCTCATTCTCTCTTCTGTTAGTTTCATTCTTTCTCTTTTCTTCTTTTCCTAAAAATATTCTACGTTTATTTTATACTCTTTTTAGAGATCCTTGCCAGTTATGAGATCTTCAAAAATTCTGAGAAGTTCCTATTATATCTTTGGCCTTGCACAAAACATCACAGATAAGTCCTTTAAGATAATAATCTACATGCCTCAAAAAATTTTTTATTCGTAATTTTTATTTTTTTTATTATCAGCTTCTACAATAATATTTGCCAACAATAATGAAGATAAATCCATCTAATATATTTTTTATGAGCTAAAACGGAACAAGACAACATGTATTATTATCCCTAATTATCTAGCATGACTTAAAAATATTTTTACAAATAAGTTTTAGAAGTAAAAAAAAATTATGGTAAATTCGATCTCCATTCTACCCATCAACTTATTCAAATTTGGCAACTTAATTAATTATGATTAGGATCTCCAACATAAATAGACTTCTCCTTCTATTTAAATATTGATTTTAAGAATTTTCTCAAGATTGGATAGGTGTGAAATCACCCAATAGTTTAATGATTATGTATTTGAATAATAATTAAAAAAAACGAGTTACTTTGAGAATTAAAATTTAAAAAAGTAATTTGTTATACATTTTAGTTAAAAATGTTAGATATATTAACATAATGTGAAAAAAAATCGTATTGAACTGTATCTAACACATCCAAATTTGTCAAACTTTACTTGAATATATGGAATTTGATAAAGTCAAACCTGTATCTATGTAGAAAATTAGTTGACCGTTGTTCCTTTTATATATATTTATCAACCTCAAAGTTGAATTTGCTTCAAATAATTTTTAATACGATAAAAAAGAAATTGGACACCTGTTGCTTTTTTGTGCATGATTGCCTTCTGTGTTTGCTTATACATATAATCAATTTTTGTTTGTACATGTGATTTGAACATATAAATATAAAAGGATTTTGAACTATATTATATAATATGTTATAAAATTCTTCGACCGACGCTCATTTTTTTTTAAACAGAAGACATAATAATATTCCTAGCTCATAATGAAATATTTTTAAAGCAAGTATTTACCAATATATTATCATTTTGAATTCTAGGTAACATTGTTTTACTATATATCAATTTTTCTTGAACTTCTTATTCGTTCAAATTCACTCTTTTCATCTTCAAGCTAATATGCAATTTTTTTTGTATGATAATTTTATTTCGCCCATAAAAATGAAATTTCTCCATTATCTTAATCGGATTCGGTGGTAAAAAAATATAAAACGGTAAGAGATAAATATATTTTAAAAAAATAATATCATTTTTAGTTTAAATTATATATATATATATATATATATATATATATATAAAAGAAATGTAAAACTATTGTACTTATTTTCTCGAGGAAGCTTTTCTTTACACACGAAAGTGTTATACTCACACCGATACTTATTAAAACACTGAATTTTAGACCACTAGGTATAACAAGGCATATTCTGTAACAATCTGAATTAGTAAAATTTCTCTATTAATAAAAACATTTCATAATTTATATTAAACATACAAATTATATAGACATACTCTATGTATTATATTATTCCTTCGAAGAAAGATTTCAAAAACAGAATACTTTAAACAAAAAAAAATCATTGCAAATCACTTCACTCCCGTTTCAAATAATGCAAATCAAATCAAAGAGAATTTAAATTAAAATAGAATATATACATCGTTCACACATCTCATACTTCTTTCTTTTTCATCTATTATTCATTATTTATATATCATATATATCAAACACATGTATCTTAACTTTTCTAAACTGATTACATATAATTTAAATTCAATTAAAATATTAATAATACATTGCAATAACATAATATTTAATTACAATATTTTCATTAATTATATAAAAATAATCAAAATTTCAGTGAAACGAAAATATTGCATGTAGGTAAGTGGCATCCAAAATCCTTGAAAAAATATTGATTTGAGAATGTTTAGTGATTCAAAAGTGAAATTAAGTGTCAACAAGTCAGCGAGTTCACTAATTTTGTTACAATCGATGGTACCACAGAGACACTTAATATTATATCAAATTTTGGGACTTTTATGAGCTTAAATTGATCAATTTGACTTTTCCAAAATTGTTCATTACTAAATATGTCTTATAAGATTACAAGTTAGCTTTGTATTAGAAATTCCTTATTAAGGACTAAAACAACACAAAAGAATTGAAATTAATTTGTTCTATATGAGAAATTGATCCGATGAACTTAAAGATCTTGCTTCAAGAATTTCTCAAGTGGTTTCTGATTCTCAAAACAAATAAACAAAAAGTGAGAACTTCTAGAGAGAAGTCAAGTAACTTAGAAAAATAGTTTGTAAAGAGATAATATATTTTAAAATAATAAAACTCATTTATAATACTATTAACCTTTTAATATTAAAATAATCGAATCTCATTATTTTAAATCACTACTACATATCATTTTTTATGTATTTATAAATTTTATTTACTATATAACATGTTTCAAATATTAGTTATACTAACTTTTATTTTCATATACATAAAAAAATGTTATTATTCGTAAAGTAGTTGTTTTTTTTTCTTTAAATTTTTTAATTTTTCCTTTGATCTTTGAAATTGGAACATTCAAGCACACATGTAAGTAGTTGTCTCTTTGTTGTCCAATTCAGCCGTCAAAGGATAAAAATATCTAGGTAACTTCATACAACACCTCTTGAAAATAATACCCTAAGAGAAAGGACCAATTCCATATAATTAACCCGCTCTTATATTTTATTCCAGAAAGTCAACACCACCAGCTACATAAATAAATGTGATTAATTATATAACATGAATCTCTTGTGTTTGGTTCCACAAGTTAAGAATGGCCAACTCCACTATGAAAAGTTCTCTCCCTCTTTTTAATTACTTTAGTTGATATTTACGTATGCACCTACGTTGAAAATTAAATTAGCTACAGTAACGAAAGTGATGGCCTTCGTCACCACTCCTAAACTACACCTGCAATTCCACGTTGCATTGGAGACGTGGTCAGAAGTTTGCATTCACCTGTGTACTCAGTTTTCAATGTTAATCTTCTTTGTTATAATGACATATAAAGTTGTAGTTTACGTGTTGCTTCTCTCATATAATATTTGCTTGCAGGTTAATTATATATACAATCCTTTTCTGGGATAGGTTCTACTCTGTTGTTCCCGCAAGTGGGGTTCATTATTTTCTTGTTCTAAGCTTTCAGTGAAAAGGGTATTCTTATAAGGTTTTCTAGCTTTCTGGGATTTTTTTTACTTGGATAATGAAGTTGCTTTTGCAAAGGGTATTCTACTTTGATTTGATAGCTATCTGTGTTTTGGATTTAGAAGAATATATGGGGTGGTGGGTTTTAAGTGCACGCAAATGAATGTTTCTGACTGGTGTTGTTGCTGGTAGGGAAAGAAAAGCAAAATCCTGTTCAGTTCAGGAGGGACAATCTAGAGGCTTTGTGTTTTCTGGGTTTCTGGGATGTATCTTTCAAAGGGTTGCAGGTGTGAAGTTGTTCTCTTTTTGTGGTTTTCCTGCTATTTTCTATTGGCTGCTAGTCAGGTCACTGACCCCACAGAAGGTATATTCCTTCCCTTTTGTCTTTTGTTTGCATTTATGATTCTGAAAGTGGTAGTAGGAATCAGTTGTTCTGTCCGGAAGAACTTTCTGTTAAATCCAATTGCATATATCACCAAATCTTTCCCCCTCTGTGTGGATCAAATGGGTTTTTATCAATATATTCTTTGTTATAATGTAAAATATTATCCATGAATCCATTATCAGAAAATGGAAATATTTTATCTGTGTATTGTAAAATGATAATCCCTCCATCTCATTTTATTTGTTGTGCTTGGAATATTTCTCTCAAATTATTTTCCACTTAGAATATAAGGAAAATAATGATAAATTTTTCCCAATTATGCCCTCTAGAAATGAGCTAGTAGATGACAGTTGCAACTGTTAAGAGCAATTGATCCTTTATGTAAATATGGGTGTTTTAGTCAAATAATATTATGTTATCACAGAAATGGGTATAAGTAAAAGTTTCTTATGATTTTGTGGATTATCTTAATTGACAAAATGAGATCGAGGAAGTAATATTTAGAATCAATAGAAATATTCATTTATTGTTTTCTGCAAAAAACATAAACGGTGCTGCTATAGTTTCTTTTCACATATTTAAAAAAATAATATGTTTATAATGTCATGTTTGTTTTCATTTGCCTCTCTTGATAGTATGATTGTTTCATTTACTTTAACATGCAGTTGAGGCATTGAGAACCATAAAGAGAAGTTTGATTGATATTAATGGAAATTTGAGCAACTGGGATCGTGGAGATCCATGTACATCGAACTGGACAGGGGTTATGTGCTCCAATACAACATTAGCCGATGGCAATCTACATGTTCTACAATTGTATGACTTTGATCTTCCACTAAACCTTTGTTTTTGTAATAGCCATGTCAACATATGTATAACCTTCCTTGTTTTATTAACTTTTCTCCCTTTTGATCTGCTCAGTTTCGTATAGAGTCACAATAGTTGTTGAGTCCAAACTTTATTAATCAGAAACTGTTTAGATTAAAAAATTTGAACTTACCACAACAATGGGTATTGGCTGTAAGTTCACAATGCTGTACGATGATATTTTCTGTATTTTGACAAATTCATATATCTTGAAGCCAAAGAAAAATTTCTGTTTAACTACCTTTCTATCTTTTCATTACTTATCTTTTACTTCTAGAAGCAATACTAATAATTTAATGCTCTGCATAATAGTACAGTGTCAAGTAGTATACACATGTAAGCTTCAGAATTCAGATTATATTTTCTTGATTAACTTTTGACAAATCACTTGGAACAACTTTTGCTACTACTATTGACACATGCGTTTGAGGACTGTTTATTTTTGTGTGTAGGCAACTGCTGAATTTGAACCTGTCTGGAACTTTGGCACCAGAGATCGGCAACTTGTCTTATTTGGAAATAGTGTAAGTCAGTAGCTGCATTGATGTTTCTAATGCAAACCAATCACACATCTTCAATTTTGAAATTTCTAGCTTCAACTTTTGTAAAATATATAGATTCATTTGAATATTTCCATTCTGTAGCAGCTTGCAATTACTTCCTCTAGTAATGGTTTGAATTTTCATTCTTGAAAGGGACTTTATGTGGAATGACATAACTGGGAGTATACCAAAGGAGATTGGCAATATCAAAACTCTGAAACTCTTGTAAGTGCAGTCATCTATCTTGGCCAGCATGCAGGACCATGGTT